TCAGCAATGATATCAGCTCTCAATCCTTCCTTTACCAGTGAGAACTTGTCCCAAGAAGCAAAATCATTCCTCGTGAATCCTGTCCCTAAATATTCTCCATTTTTCTGGTCGCTCTTTTTTGTGTCCATGCAGTTGGTCAATATCCCTTATGTACTGTAGTGATCAGAATTGTACAAAGCATTTCAAATGTTGCGTCAATGATTTTTAGGTACCTCACTATTTCAGTTCACTCTTTTAATATGTCCCAGTCTCTGATTTTCTGATCTGACAAAGACATTTGAACTGAGACATTTGGTCTGTTTCTCTCTCGACTGATACTCTTCAATATATCTGGTATTTTTTGTTTTTATATCTGATATGCTTTAGCCTGTAAAGAATTGGAATCAAAACATTAACTCTATTTTCTCTTCATATTTGCTGTCAGACCTGCTCAGTTTCTCCAGCAATATCTGTTTTAATTTGCTTATGCTTTACTAGTTGCTACAGTGCCACACCTTCAATTCATTAGTCAGTGAGTTCCCCTCCCTCTCCGTGGGCATTATTTTCTACTTCAGTAATCATTTTGTCCTGGATTTTGTTTCGGTGAAACAATTCTCTCCATTAAGCTGTACTTGTCATTTCAAAACCCAATTCCCCCACATACTGTACAGTACAGGGGACATATCCAAATCCTGCTGGAGTTTCATCTCCTCAACATAGGCAGCGATAGTAAAGTGGTTATATTGTTGAACTAAACTAAACCAGAGGCCTAGGCTCAGGAGTCTTTGATTCAAATCCTAATCAAAGCAGCTAATTAACTATAAACAAAAACAGAAAAGGTTGGAGAAACTCAGCAGGTTTGTGGAGACAGCAGCAGAGTTAACATTTTGGATTCCAACATGATTTCTTCAGAGCTAACAGTTTTATTAAAAGTGACCACGAAACTACCTCACTATTGTAAAAAAATCTATCAGGTTCACTAATGACCTGTAGGGAAGGGAATCTACCATTGTTACCTTATCCTATCTATGTTCACTAATGACCTGTAGGGAATCTACTGTTGTTACCTTATCCGGTCTATGTATTTGATTTCAGACCCACGCTTCATGACCCTTTGAAATGGCCTCTCAAGCCACTCAGTTGTTATCAAACTGCCTCAGAAAGCAGTGGATGTAACCACACCACACAGGCTGTAATAGTTCTAGAAGGCAGCTCACCGTAATCTTCATGAGTGTACTTAGAGACTGGAAATAAATACTGGCCTTGATGAGGGAACTAAATGCAATGTCTCCAAGTTTGCAGATGATACAAAGTTGGGTCAGAGGGTGAACAGTGAGGAAGATGCAGAGATGCTTCATTGTAATTTGGACAAGTTAATAGGCAAATGCAAGGCAGATAAAGAATAATATGAATAAATGTGAGGTTATCCACTTTGCTTGTAAAAAACAGGAAGGCAGATTATTATCTGAATGATGATAGTTTGGGAAAGGGGAAGGTGAAACCTGGGTGTCATTGTACACCAGTCACTGAAAGTAAGTTTGCAGGTGTAGCAATCAATGAAAGAAAATGATATGTTAACCTTCATAGCAAGACAATTTGAGTATAAGAGCAGGGATATCTTGCTGCAATTGTATAGGGCCTTGGTGAGACCATACCGGAGTATTGTGTGCAATTTTGGTCTCATCTGAGGAAGCATGTTGCGGCAATGGAGTGCAATGAAGATTTACCAGACTGATTCCTGGGATGGCAGGTCTGACATATAAAGAGAACCTGGATCAACTAAGTATATATTCACTGAAGTTTAGAAGCATGAGGGGTTGTTTGACATAGCTGTAGATTAAAGGGTATGGGGAGAAAGCAGGAACAGGGTACTTAGTTGGATGATCAGTCACAATCATATTAATGGTGCAGGAGTTGCAAAGGGCAAAATGGCCTTCTCCTATTTTCTATATTAGACCGTGCTCTCAACATCCCAATTATAAAATTAAGAAAACTGTGGTGTTTCCTGCTTTTTATCATTTAATTTATTCAGTGTACTTGTGGCAGTAAATTCCAGTTCATTTCTGAAGATATTAAACAAAAAGTGGTCCTAAAACTAACCCCATGTGATTCTGCTGATGACACCCATGCAGACTGTTGACAATTTCTGTACCATCACCCTCTAGGTTCTATTCATCAACAAACTGGTACCTATTGTAAAACATCCCCATTCTCCATATTACACCGTAACCAAGGCCTTGCTGAAATACAAGTACACCATGTTCACTGCCTTACTCCTAGCCAACTCTTCTATGATAACCTTGAAGACAATAGTACATTGACAAGATGAAATCGTACTTCGTAGCCTCATAGAATCAATGAATTGTTACAACACAGGAAGCCATTCAGCCCATTGTGTTCTTTGAAAGAGATATCCAATTAGATTCATTTCTCCGCCTCCCTCTCCTGTGTTTTTTTCCCTGTGTATTTATCTAAATTTCACGTACTTACTAATTCGCTTTTGAAAGCGATTATTGAATCTGTTCCCTCCATCTTGCCAGGCAGCACTTTACAGATCACAACAACTTGCTGTATAGCACTTATCTCCTCATTCTGTTCCTAGTTCTTTCTCCAGTTGTCCAGGTTCTGGGAGATCTGGTTACTGGCCCTATGCCACAATAATTTCTCCTTATGTACTAGAATCAAAACCCTTCATGATTCCAAACTCTCCAAATAATGGAAGAACCTCATCCTGGGTCCCATTTTAGTAGATCTTCTCTGCACTCTCTTCAAAGCCTTGAAATCCTCCCTAACTAGGGGTTCCCAGAATTGCACACTAATTAAGGCCCAAACAGTTTTGCCAAACATTTCCCTGCTTTATGTCTCCACTATAAAAAACAGCCAAAGATCTCATCTGCTCTTTTTTTTAAAAAGAAAACTACTTATCCTGTCACCTTTCATTTGTGCATGTGACGCCAAGCCCAGATGCTCTGTGATCTAATCATCATCAAGGAATTAAGCAGCAGCTGAAGCTAGCTGTTACATGCTGCTATTATCCTCCATTAACAGGATGCTGTCACCAAGCCAAAAAGGTGTTCCATCTGCAAGGCAGTAATGCAGTATGTGAATTTCAGTGCTGGTCTGATGTATGATATATCCGAATTACTGCAAGATCATATATAAATCCCGTCGGCTGTTTGAACCAGTCAGTGCTTACAAAAGTCAACTTCATATCTAAAGTTAGTTGTTACTTTTGTGACAATCCTAAGTGTGCTAAGAATTAAACTGACAACCAATGTAAGATTCCAAATGTGTGTTCCCAATGTAGGTATGAGAACCTAGAGATGTCTACCTGTATGCAGCTTGATGCACATCTGCATATAACTTTGAATCATAGAGATGTACAGCACGGATACAGCTCCTTCAGTCCAACTCATCCAGGCCCACCAGATATCCTAAACAAATCTAGTCCCATTTGCCAGCATTTTGCCTTATCCCTCTAAACCCTTCCTATTCATATACCCATCCAGATGCCTTTTAGATGTTGTAATTGTACCAGCCTCCACCACTTCCCCTGGCAGCTCATTCCATACACGCACCACCCTCTGCGTGAAAAGTTGCCTCTTATGTCCCTTCTAAATCTTTCCCCTCTCACCTTAAACCTGTGCCCTCGAGTTTTGGACTCCCCCACCCCAGGGAAAAGACCTTGTCTATTTACCCTATTCATAGACTTCATGATTCCTGTGACATTAACTGAATACTGATTGCGTTTTGGAAATGAATGTTCCAGGCAACAGATTTTCATGGATACTCATCTGTCTCTGTTCATTGGCTGACAGTTCACAAATTTACAAGGCTTGAAATATCTGGTTGTCCAAAGAACACAAAACTGATCCAGGTTACCTACTACTTTGTCCGTCACTATATTGGCTACGGACATCTCTTTATAATCGGATGCTATAATCAGACATTGATCATTTAACATCAAAGCAGCTACTTAAACTGGTTTAATAATAACACTGAATAATACGCTCGTAAACTGAAAATACTGATGTGGTGTTGCAAATGCACTGGCTGTGCTCCAACTAGGGCAGGCTTTGGCCACAAAGGCAGTATTCAAGATTATCAGCTAAACTCGTGATGTGGCTCACTGTTTACTAGACGCTACGTGTATTCATATGCAGGAATAAAAACCAAAAGAACTGCGGATGCTGTAAATCAAGAACAAAAACAAAGTTGCTGGAAAAGCTCAGCAGGTCTGGCAGCATCTGTGAAGGAAAAAACAGAGTTAACGTTTCGGGTCCGGTGAC